TTAAAAGTATGAGGACTAAAGTTCAGATCCCCAAAAGTCATGCAAATGCCAGGTAGATGTGGTGGCCTTCCTGTAATTCTAGCTCAGAAGGTAGGCTCCCCAAAACAATCTAGATAGCTAAACTAGCCATATTGAAGAGCTCTGTGTTTGAATAAGAGACCTGCCTCAATGAATAAGGTAGGAAAGCAATCAAGAATGCTTCCTGATGTTAATCCTTGGTATCCCCAAGAACATGCACAACACACGTGCTCATAAACATAAACATGCATACACACATGCACACAATATACTTATATATGAAAATGGAAAAAGGAAAAAAAAACCCACCAAACTGCTAATAAAGTCCAGCCTAAATTTTACAAATGAGGAAATGTATTGTCTTAATGTTTTGATGATTTGTGGCTCTAAGGAAGACAGATTAAAGGCAGAAACTATTCACTGGTTGATGTTCACTAATGAGAACTGACTCATCTACAGAGGCTCTCCAAATCTACCTCATGCATATGGTATCAGGAACCAAACTAGATCAGTTTCTCCGAGGATGGGTTGGAACAGGCAGCTTCACTCCTAATCAATGAACTTGCCATCAATAAAATCAAAGATATGAAAGAACAAAGCTATAAACCTCTAACAACGCAAAAAGAATAAAATCCTGTTCCATCCTACACAAACATGTCTGACAGTTCATTCCACATCCTCCCTTCTGTCCCAAACAGACAAGTTTGGGTTGGAACACATAGTAGTAAAGAAAGACTCCAAGAACAGCAAGAAGGCAAACTCCAATATGTAACCACTTTCCAAGTCTGGCTGTGCTGGATCTGATCATTAGTCCACTGACTGGAGCTTCACATGGCTGTCAACCACCATGTGGGTGCTGGAAATTAAACCCAGGTCCTCTGCAGGAGCAGTCAGTGCTCTTATCTGATGATCCATCTACGACCCTTGGTCAAAATCGTTATTGATCTTATGAAGAATGGGAGACTTTTATGAGGTAACACTTCCCTGTGGAACTTGCAGTGGCCTTAAAGTAATGATGGTTGGTGTTATTAGAATCATGGTGGAGGTAAGTGTCCAGGAACTTCTGTTAGGAATTTTCTAGATTAAGTTAACTTCTATGAGGGATTATCTTGATTAGATCAATTGAAGTGGGAAGACTCATCCTAACTGTGGGCAATACCATACCCTAGAGAGGGATCCTGGAATTAATAAACTGGATAAAGTGAGGTAAGCATTAGTATTGTTCAATCTCTGTGTCATGGTTGTGGATCTGATGTGAGTAGCTGCTTCAATTTCCTGCCATATTGACTTCCTCACTGTTGAAACATACCTTAAATTATGAACAAGAATAAGGGTTTATGTCTTAAGATTTTGGCAAGGTATTTTATCACAGCTACAGGAAAAGAAGGGGAGACACAGACATATCTTTTAAAGCCTAGAAGTGATGTCTTTTTTTCTGGGATTCTTCCTGAAAAGGAGTCCTGCTTTCCAGTGGTGATGCAGAGGAAGACTGGATTGTTGATCATATCATCTCCACTGGACCCTGAACTAAGAAGAGAGAAGAACAAAATTAAATATAAATACTAAGCTGATGTCATGAATTTCCTTTTATTAAATATTACAAGTGAATATACAATGTGTGAATTTTTTGTGTATGAAATTTGGTTTCTATCTGATTTTCAAAAAGAAACAGACTTCCCAAGTTTAA